TGTGTGTGTGTGTGTGTGTGTATGTGTGTGTGTGTGTGTGTGTGCTGTGTGTGATGTGTGTGGATGAACATGTATTCTAAAGCATGCGTGCACAGGTTAGAGGACAACTTTGAGGAGTTAGTTCTGTTCTTCCATTGTCATGTGAATTTGAGAGAGACAACTCACATCTCCAGGCTTGTGACACAAGTACCACTACCCCTGAGCCATCTCACTGATCCACAGTCTAGCCTCTTGATCCACATAAATCAACTTTTACTCCTCCAGTACCATATGATTTTAGTGCCACGTACCATAAGACCCATTCCTATAGTGATAAGAACTCCAGCTTTGCACCTTTATGTCACCATGCTGAATAAATAAATAGGCAGAGTCATTAACAGAGGGAATTTGGGAAACAATTCCTTTATCTATTCACATACATAAGGCTCACAAGAAACGACATAAAACACAAAGATAAAAACTGATTAAATACCACTAACTATATCTCCCACCCAACTTCCCTTTGCTGGCTAACAAACATGAAGGAAACAAAGGTATAGAATAGACTTTTATAAGGAACTGGCTCTCATGGTTTGTGGCTGAAAATCTAGTATTTCTAGAATAGACTAACAGTTTGACAGTCCAGAAATTCAGGTGAGAGTGGATTTGGCAATCTTAGAGCTGAATTTTCTCTACTTTGGGAAACCTAAACCTCTGGTGTTAAGACCTTGAAGTGATTAGTTGGAGCCCAGTTTTATGAAAAACTTGTGTAACCACACCAAGACTAATATGGGAAAAATAAATTATTTAGCTCAGTTATCATATAAAGTCAATAATCACAACCAATTAAACCAGTAGACAAAGACCTGCTATTTTTTCAATTTTTATTGAAATACATAGCCATGTGAACTCATTCCTATGGACCCATAAAGGATGTTAGAGTGGACCCACATGCTTCGTATTCAAAGTATCAGCAAATCTCATTCATTTCCTCTTCAAATACATCCAGAATCACTACATTTCTTTTGAGTTGTGAATGCTCAAATCTACTTTTTTCTGTTGTTTCACTATTTTTGTGACAATGTACTAATCTCTGCTTTGTGTTCTTGAATTAAAGAACTGATTACTCCCAACTTTTCTAATTTTATGAAAACATATTAGGACAAAATATTTATTCTTGGATAAAAATTCTTTGTGTTTTTTGGGTTTTTGTTATACCATTCCATGTATTAAAATGATATCCTTTTATCCAGCTCTGTGCCCTTTGCATTTTAATTATCCATCTTTGGACAATTTGGAGTATTATAACCCATGTCCATTTAAAGGCAGCAACAGTGAAAATTTGTGACAAGACCCTTTCTTGCTTAGCAATCTGATTTCAAGTACTTTATACAAGATAAATTTGGCAGACTGAGCAAATAGCAATTCCCAGATTGGGTGTCCTTCAGAACCAGAAACTATTAAAGAATCCCATTGTGCAGCACGTGCAGAGGGTACTGGGATGGAATAGCCCAGAAGAAAGCAGGAATAGCACAGGATCAAGAGTGGACTGATTATTCCCAAAGTTACTTTCTTTGTAAAGGGAAAAGCAGAGGCAAATTCTTATGCTGGTTAAACTCGATGTGCTTAAGATAATTTAGTCATTAGCTATTCTGATTAGTCAGAAGCTCATACAAATGACTTACTTTTGCTTTCCTGTTATAAAACTTTAGCAATCCCACATTGCTTTGGTCCAGTGGGAACCAGTGTAAAAGCTCAGTCCAAATCAATGGCCTTCTATAAATGTTATTTAATATAACTAAAAAAAAAGTTCTTTGGCCTCCTAATGGAAACTGTTATGGTTTGAATGTGAAACGCTGCCCATAGGTTCTTATGTTTGAACTCTTGGCCCCCAGCTGGTGGCACAATTTAAGAATATTGGGAAGGTGGAGTTTACTGGATCACTTGGGTATGTGTCTTGAGTTTTATAGCCCAACCTCCTTTCCTATATACTTTTGGCCTCCTTACAGTGGATACAACGTGATAGTCTGTCTCCTGCTTCTGTCTCCATGTCTTCCCTATCTGATGGAATGTCTCTCCTTGAACTCTAAGCTGAACTCTTCCTCTCTAAAGCTGTGTCAGGACATGTATTTTGTCACACCAACAAGAGAAGTAACTAGCATAGAGACATTGACTATTTACTGCAAATATGCTTTGTTTGTGAGGCTTTCATTTTCATTTTTCATGTTGCTCTTATATAATTTCCAGGAATGGAAAAGGGAAAAGACTAATGTATATAACATTTCTCATATGGCAATGGCAGACAATTCTTGCTTGAATAATAGCTGATGTAAAATAAGTGCTCCATAAGAACTGTTTAGATAAAAGAATTAATGATTAATTTAGTAAAGTACATTCCCATACCTATGAAACTTAGATATTCTACTTGTTGGGAAAGATGTCTAGATTAGTGCTATAGGGCCACTATATATTCATAATCTCTAGTTCCACTTGGAATTTTTTTGGTTTTGGTTTTTTTGAGACAGGGTTTCTCTGTGTAGATTTGGGTGTCCTGGAACTCACACTGGAGACCAGGCTGGCCTCAAACCCACAGAGATCCACCTGAATCTGCCTCTCGAATTCTGGTATTAGAGGCGTGCTCCACCACGTCTCATTCGCTTAAAAATGTTTGTATTTCCACCTTGATGAGCCGGTTTCCTGCTCGCCTCAGTAATAATAATTATATATCCTGTGACAGTTTGGTCAGATATAGTTCACATATATGACAGCAGTTCTATGTGATTAAACCACTGGCTTTGTAGCTATCTTTATGTATGTAAGAACATTCTGGTATTTGCTAAATGATGAACTAATATAACAATAAATTTATCTGAAATTTTGTAGCCCTTTGTAAAATGATTCATGATTATACTCCACCTACAGTATTCTATTCACTCAATCTATAAATATCTAGCTACATTACTCACAGATATTCTTCAACTCCTGATTCAATATGAAAGCGTTTTCAGTTGGAAACCTCAGCTATGTTAAAAACATGTAAAAAAAAAAAAACAAAGGTGGGTGTAAGTATAGTTATTAGCCACTCAGCATTCACTTTAGGTGTAAACCATTGCTTTTGACATGCTATTTTTAGCTAGATGAAAGTTAATGTCAGGGAATTTAACTTTTCCCCCTCCCCAGAGGTGCATTCATCTACAGTTTCCTTCAATCCCTGCTCAGATCTGTGGACTTCGGATAAGGCAACCTTCTAAGTAACATCAAATTCAACCTTTCCTATCCTTGCCCTCTATCTCATCTCTTCATCACCTTAGGCACTATGAACTAATTACCCATAAGCCCCTTCACTCCTTTATATGGAACCTCTATTTCCCTCCTCCCCTTCCATCTCTAAGTCTGCTAAAATGCTCAAGCTGAACTTTCCTCCCTTTCCTTGAATAGTCATATTTCAGACTTGTTTGTTTGTTTTTTGGTTTTTCAAGACAGGGTTTCTCCGTGTTGTTTTTGTCCTGTAACTCTGTAAACCAGGCCGTCCTTAAACTCAGAGATGTCCATGCCTCTGCCTCCTGAGTGCTGAGATTAATGTTGTGTGCCACCATAGCCCAGTCATACTTCAGTTTCTTAAGCAAGGCTTATATGCTGTAATGCCAGAAAGTCAGAGTAAAGGTCCCAGGAGAAAGTCTGTTGGGCACAGATTGCAATGATGCTATGTTTCAGAAACTAAGCAAACATGGACGGTGTCCTAATTCAAATCAAAAGCAAGTGGGAATTGAAATGGTAGAGGCTGAATTCAGCCACTTATACATAGCCGACAACAAACTTCAATTACTTTGGAAACTGGGGCAGGGAAGATTCCTTTGGGTACACCAGTCAGCTCCTCACACAGAAGGAACAAGCAGAGACTGAGGCCCGGGAAGCTGAGGGTGGCTGCTGATAGCAGTTGAATTTAAATATTTGAAATGTTGTTGAGTGAAAATCCTGGGCTGGTCCTATAGTGTAGGTGAGGAAGGAAAGGAGAGAGATGTATCTGCAATGTGAGAGAGAATTTTCTATCAGAATGATCAAAAAATATAATGATTTAGCTAGAGTATGACTATATTTTTAGCACTGAAGAAGTTTACTCCTGAATCCAAATAATCATTTACTAGGCAATTCTTACAGCACATCACTTGTTTAGTCACAGGGATTCTTCCTTCACTGAAGGAAAGCATGGGATTTATTTTGCACCCTGGAGGGAGGGAGGGATGGAGTACTAAGTGCATGAAGGTCTGGCTGAATGTATATTGTTGACATAGGCAAAGCCATGACAAAGATCAAGGCCTCAGCCCATGGCAAATTGGCAATGCCTTTCCCCATATGGGTTTGTCCTGCTCAAAATGGCAAAGCCTTCTTCCTCTGGTTCAAGTATGAAAGTGTAAGGATTATTGATCAGTGTGCACCCAAACTAGAAACTTCAGCTTCCTCCCCCAAGAGGTTTACAGCCAGAGACTGCTTTCCTCCAGAGACCTCCTCCTCCTGGGACTAGCTAACTGTGCTGAAGTTCCCAGCGGTGGTGGTATAGGTGTGGTTCCATCAAACTGCATAGTCCATCTGATCCATCTTTTCTCTGTGTGTCTGTCAATTCCTCATCCCCTTGTTGCCCCAGTCAGGGTTCCAGATCAAAGTTGTGTGGGTTGCAGCTGTACTCTCAACACATTTAGTGTCTGTCTTAATTCCTACTCCATACATAGTAGGTATTCAATAAGTTAGTTATTAATGATGAGAAATAATGGTGATCTTTCAATAAATAATGCATTAAATGAATGCATTAAAATAAAAATAAAATGGAGATCACGAGTAAAAGAGGACAGAGTATCTTTTCTGAATGTACTGTTGTGTTGTGAGTGCTGTAAAGATGATCTTAAAGAATTTTGTGAACCCCAAAATACTATTACCAACATTAAGCGTTTTCATGGAATTCATGCTTTTTATCGCAAACTTACCATTAGTGTTATATGAAAAACAATAATATACAAGCTTAGGTTCTTGATTCTGAGAAACTAGCAACTCCTGAGTGCCAAATACATTTAAATGAAGTAATTGAAAGGAAAACAAGAGATATATGGTCCCACGAACACAGGAACACTTCTGGTCCCCAGGTAGCCAAAATGCCTTTATTATTTTGTTGGTGAATTTGACTGCTCACATTTGTCAAGGCATCAGCATTAATTTCAATAATAGCATGGTTTGTAACATTAGGTACTGTTATGGGTGGTTTATATCTCTGATTATCTGCAAATAGGAACAATAACTCCTGATATAATTCTATGATCGACTGAGAGAATGTAAACCAGGTTCTTCAAATTGAGTTGTCATTATCAATGTACAGAGGGTTCATTTTTCTGCTCTTTTGATGTATAGATAATATTTATTTTCTTACTATGCTAGTAGTTGGTACTTAGGTTTATCTAGTTTGTATTTTTCCCTGGAGGGAAAATAATTTGGTCCTAGAGCATATTGGGTGGGGTGCTTGACGAAATGTGAGTTAAAGAATACATCCTTTGGCAGAAGGGACACATCTTACTATTGAAAATGTAAACTGAGTACTTATGGGATGGAAGATGAGGGTTACTGGGGAGAAGATTGATTGGCACTCTTGGTAGTTGATTCGCCCATTGACTTTTTGCTTCTGTTTCTTGATGTGCCTTTCTAGAAGCCATTTGTTGCTGTTGGATTACGATTTCAGTGCTCCTACACTGCCTTCCTGGACAGTTATTCCATAGGTGGCATTCACATCATCCAGACTCCTCCATTGTCTTGCTTGTTTTTCGCCATTATACTTAGGGAATGTTCTGGAAATGCAACATCCTGAGGTTAGGAGGGAGATGCATAGAACATTCTAGGCTCAGTTCTAGCTTTTCATAGAACAAGGTTTTCACCACATTCTCACAGTCAGTAATATGACCATGGAGACATAAATTCCAATGCACTTTGCTTTTGGGGAACTTCTCATCTGGTATAAGTGGAACAGTCAAGGCCTCATCTACTCCAGGAAGTTTTCTGGGCTAAGACTTAGAGCAAATTCTTGACTTCTGTTGTGTCTTGCTGCCTATCTGAAAGTAATAAAACTGCTTCATGTAAATTCATCTACATGTGGGTATTCTGTTTCATCAGATAGATGAGTTGATAATCAGTACACAATGAAATGGCTTCATACTTCCTGCTATCTGAAGTCCTTAAGCATGAGAAGGAATGATTGATGGCGTGTGAGTGAGTGGTGCCTGTCAAATCCACAAACAAGACTGCTGCAATTCATTGTTAGCTCGGCCAAGTTAACAATGGTTGCACAGCGCAGGACCAATTGGGCTTTAAACTAAATCCCTATTTCTGTGCAAACGGCTGATTTGTTGACTCCTTCTAGAGTAAGGCTGGCTACATGGAACCGTGAGAAGCTGAACTGTGGAGACAAGAACAGTATTTTTTCCCCAATGGTCAAGTTCTGTGGTGGCCTTCTGGAACAGATTGAATTACTTCCACATCTTCTGATGTATTTTTTTCCCTTTGCTCTCTAAAACTAGAAGTAACATTTAAAAATCATGTCCATTTCAAAGTTAAAATATCTTCATTTTCTTCATTTTAAAGGTTCTTTTTTTTTTCTGATTCTGTGCTTCAGTGAACACGTTTATTTCCAAGCACCAAGAGCAACAGGAGCTCCTTCAGACTGTATCAGCTTACAAGCCAGTGTGCAAAGACAGGATGAAAAACCACAGGCTTATGGGATGCTTCCTGTAGGGGCCAAATTGCTTGCCACTCTTGCTTCACCAAGCTGTCTAGAAAAACATTTGGTTTCCAGATGTTCAGTATGACAGGACCCTTGTTCTTTTTCAGGATCCATGGGACTTGTACTATCCAAGATACCATCAGAATGTTTTTCCATAGTGTTTTCAGGTAAACATGTAAAGGCTAGGACAAGAAGACAGGTGAGTGTTGTAGGCGTGGAAGAATTCGGTAACATCTATTAAATAATTTTATGTATCTTTGAGATGCTGTGTTGGTGTCATTTGGACAGTATCTAAAAAAATAGAGATTTCTTTGGCTTTCTTCTCCATCCTGAGCATGATTGAGACAAGCTGACATGCAATCTGAGTGCCCACATATTTAATAAACTCTCCACATTATACTGATACACAGTGGGGATCAGAAGTTCCTGTGTGTTCTATAATTGAGAGGTAGGCATATCTGCACAAATACACATCTCAGTCTTCCTTATATTGCTTCCAGATCCACAGGATTCCATGTTTAGAAAAAAAATTAGTTTCAGGCTAATGACTGATATGAAAGTCAAGATGTATGGTACTCAAATGAAGAGCAATGAAGTAGAACAGTGAACTAAATGAAATGAAATATGTGCTTTGCCTGTTGACATTTAAGTGTCATTTATTAAATATTTAATGTCTTCACAGAAGTGGACAGCAGTTTTCTATTTTACTCTTTGGTCAATAAAATTAGTCCCAGTGGTAGATGCTATACTAGCTATAGAAATTCCTCAATTTTAATCCTTTTTCTCTTATGTATGTGATATACATGTTTCTGTATGTGTCTGTGTGCACATGAGTGTGCATGTGTGTGCCAGAGGAGAGGTTGACATTGGGTGTATTCTTTAGCCACTCTTTGCCTTATTTTTTGAGACAAGGTCAACATGGGGCTAGTAAATATGGAGCTCCAATTCAGCTAGCCCATTTGCCTCTTTCTCCTCCCATTCCCAGTGCTGAGGTGACAGACAAGCCCCAGAGTCCAGCTTTTGTTACACTAGACTCAGGCTCTCATAGTTGTAAAGCAAGCACTTTGTTTATGAAGCCACTTCCCCAGCCCTGCAATGTTTCATTCCTTTTGTTTATTTGTATTTCACCCCAGACAATCATTTATTCATTACCAATGCCTATATGCACGCATCCAATCATTCATGGTACTGAGCTCTGGAGTTCGCTGATTGTGGATGTATAGAACAAGGAAGTCAAGCCTGCCTTTTAAGGAGACTAATAATTGAAAACAAGAAGCAGCAGGCTGTCACATGTGTTACCAAAATAAAGTTGTATTATGATAAACTAGATATATGGGCAGAAGAGGGAAAGACCTCAAGGAAATATATTTGATATCATAAAGCATGGGCTATGTAGCACTTAGTGGCTGTCTCTGTTCTGTGTGTTATATGAGAACCACAGCAATTAATTTATTTATTAAGGAGATGAGCTGAGATTAGAAGTCCTTTTCTTAACCACCTTGCTCTATTCCTTTCTCTTTGATGTCTGAAACCCCCCACATTAGAGTCATTTTATTCATTATAACAACCAACAAAGGTATGATTTATGAAAAATGTAATGGGCACCAGGTAGTGCACTATATCCTTAACATGTATTGTTTACCTCATTTAATCCATATTCAGCAATCTCAATTTTAGAAATAGAAAGCTAAGAGTTAGACATCTGCAGAGCATCAAAGCTTCAATTTGTAGAAGTTCTCTCTGCAGAGTCCATACTATAACCTGCTGTATCACATTGCCTTACACAAACTACTTATACAATGAAAGCAGTGCAACAGCAAGGGAGCAGTGATTAGGAGCTTAACTTTGAAGTCAGATATCTTCACATGAATTTACTCTACAATTGATGAAGAGTGATGACTGTGACTTGGTATCCTCATCTATTAAGCACAGATGATAACAGTATCTATCTTACAGAGCTATTGTGAAGATTAAATGTCTCACTAGAAGAAAACATTAGGATGCCTGCAACCTGGTAACATTATATAAATATTTCTTAGTACTGGGATAAATTTTTCATATGACAAAATGGGACCATCGCATGTTATATCTTATATCACCTAGAAAAATTCTGACAAGATGTACATGTACTATAGGAATTGTGTACATGGAGAGTTGTAAAGAAGAAATCGCAACCAGGGGCATGAAAGTTGTAAGGTGTGTGTGTGTGTGTGTGTGTGTGTGTGTGTGTGTGCATTGTAGTGTAGTGTATGGAGATGGTGAGTACAGCATACTTAGGATGACAGGAAGAGAATTGAAACGGGAAATATGCAATGCTGAAACAAGGCATGTAGTTAAAAACCATGTCAGAGTTTTTCATGCCATACAATGATTTCAATTTGACGATCTGCAAAGTGATAATAGAAGGCTTCAGGGAAGACAATGCCATGGCTAACTTTATATTATAGAAAAATCCACTCTGGAAGAAGCATGGAGGATAAGCTGAAAGATATCAGATTTGAAGTAGCTTGTTAAAATAGCTGTGTTTTTTTTCTATTTTAATGAGTAAAAATGAGTACTAAACCTAGAAAAGTATTAGCAGTGGGAATGGAGGAATACGGAATGTATTTCGAAGCTAATTAGGAAGCAGCATTCATGAAACATGGTAAGCAGTCAATTGTCTTAGAAAAAGGTAGAGAGAGAATCCAGTGCTTCTGGATTAGATGACTTGGGAGCAGGAAGTGGTGCAATGCACTAAGACTACCCAGGAAGGAACCTGGAGAGGGACTAGTAGAGTTCCTGAATTTCATTTAGATTTGTTTTCTTCTAGGTCCCTTTGGAAACTCTAAGCTACTGTCAAAGAGGCAGAAAATATATGAGTCCCAAAGCAATCTAGTCTGGACATAAAGACTTTGAGTTCATCAACTTGCATGCTAATTTTAAGACTACAGTACTGTTATTGCACAGAAAGAGTTTGAAAAGTATAAAGAGGGAGGGAACAAGGACAAAGTAGCAAATTATTGCAGCCTTTAAGGGGGGTGCATAAGGAGAGGTTAGCGATGGAGACTGACATGGAACAGTTGAATGGAATCATGGCTGCTTGTTCCATTTTGTCATTAGCCTAACATTTACCAGATAGAGTGGTCTGAGAGAATACTAACAACCAATAGATTTATTGGAATGTGCTACAGCAGTGGTTCTCAACCTGTGGGTCATAATACCTTTGAGGGCCAAATTATCCTTTCACAGGGGTCGCATATCAGATAGCATGCATATCAGATATTTACATTATTATTTGTAATAGTAGCAAAATTATAGTTATGAAGTAGCAACAAAAATAATTTTGTGCCTGGGGGTCAGCACAACATGAGGAACTGTATTAAAGGGTCGCAGGACTAGGAAGTTTGAGAACCACTATGCTATACCAACATACCACATTTTTCTGTGAAAGTGTTGTAGACCATAAAGTCTTGCCACAATTAATCACCTCTATTGTTGTAGGGTGAAAGCACTATAGACAAATTTTTAATAAAATGGGTGTGGCTATATTTGAATATAGTATTGAATATAAACTCCAAAATTTGTTTTGAATTTGTGATCATCAGAGACTTTCTTCTTATAATTTAAAAGTTGTTACTACTGAATGTATGTATGTATGTATGTATGATATGATAGAATGTGTATGAGGTGTGTGTGTGTGTGTGTGTGTGTGTGTGTGTGTGTAAGACAGAAAGAGAGAGAATGAGTGAGTATGAGTGTACACATTACTACATGAATGTGGAGTTCAGAAGACAACTTTGCGGATCAGTTCTCTCCTTCACCTGGATTCTTGGGGTCAAAATAAAGCTTGTTGTACTTACACCGCAAGCACTTCTGCCTACTGAGCCATCTCACCACCTTGTTGTGATTTGTTTGAAAGCTCATCTATGTTTTAATTTTTGGAAAATATCAAGCATACTAAAATTATGAAACAAATTCCTGCATATCTATCACCATTATGTAATAATTGTCCAAGAAATACTGTCACTATATTTTGTACTGTATATTATATCCCTGAAAAATACTTATCCTATCAAGAAAACATGAATGTGGGAAAGGGATTTGTAAGGAGGAGGAGGCATAATAAAGTGGAGAGGAAATTAAGAGGCAGTAGGTAGAGTGTTACAATAGTCAGAATGTAGTATAGACATGTGATTAAAAAAGCTTTACAGCTGTGTAATGTTTCCTGAACTCATAGATCATACTAAAATAGATTGCTGAGCAAATCTGGCCAATAGACTATAACTTGTCAATGTAGTCTGAGAAAAGCAGTATGTTTGACATGGGAAGTGGTGTATAGATCAGAAGCAGACTGCTCTCAGCTAGCACTTGTCATTATGTATAACATCTGGAAAAATACAGAACAGTGAGAAAGCAAAGACAGATTGAAGATGTCACTTCAAACAGATAAGGGTAGAATGCCAGGAAGAACTTGTTTACAAATGGCTCTACTATATATGGAATTTCCAAAGGAGAGGACTGGGGCACTAGGGGGATTAGGAAGCAGGGACTAAAAGGTATCAGTCTTCTTTTTGAGATTATAAAAATTCCCCAAAGTTTATTGTCATGAAGATTGAATAACTTTGAATACAACACAATTCAAAAGCATTGCATTGTGCAGTGTAAATGGGAGACTTATGTGGAATGTGAAATGTAGCTATAAACCTTCTTATCAAAGAAGCAGAAAAAGGGAGTGTGGTGGTTTGAAAGAAAATGCCCCCACAAAGGGAAGAAAATGGACTCCAAAAGGAGTGGCACTATTAGGAGGTGATACCTTTTTGGAGGAAGTGTGTCACTGTGGGTGTGGGCTTTGCGGTCTCCTATATGCTTAAGAGCTGCCCAGTGAGACAGACCACTTCAGGATGCCTACAAGCTGTAGAATTCTCAGCTACTTCTTCAGCGCCATGCTTCCCTGCATGCTCTCTACCATGATGATAATGGACTAAACCTCTAAAACTGCAAGTCACTACCACAGTTAAATGCTTTCCTTTTATAAGAATTGACATGGTCATAGTGTCTCTTCACATCAATAGAAACCCTAAGGCATGTAGGGAGAATAAGGAACCCACAAAAAACACCCATCTGAAGCTAATAAGCCCAAAGAAAACTGACACCAGATAGTGAAACAAACTGAGGTGACTCTCTAGTTTAAAGTCTTTGGCTCTCTTCTGAAAAAATATA